GATCATTTCGTTCCTAACGCACCACGCCCGGAGCGGTCCTGTAGCGGTTGCTTGCAAACTTTCGTGACGCAGTACATGTATCTGCGTTTCTACGCAAATTCTACTGTGAACGCGCTCAATTAGTCCCATTCGTTACAGCTGGATTGAAGTCTTTATACGTTACAGCAATAGAGTTAAACAGCTCTCGTAATGCATGTATTCGTGGATTGACCTAGCCATTCGAATTCTGATTTGAGTAGTTGAATCGAAACAGCTTTTTTAGATGACTGGAAATTTCTGCATTGCATGGGCAAGAGTCACCAACTTGGGGAAGTGTACAGCTCACAAATGGTATGTTCCTCCGTTTTTCTTCCCACTTCCTCTCATTTGTCTGTTTTTTTTTGGCAAAGCTCGCAGTGGGTGCACAAATGGACTGTAGAGTCGGTTTGGAGGGGGACGACAGCAACAACTCAAAATATTAGGATTCTACGTCACATTCTTTCAAACATTACGTTCTATTATGTGAACTGACTGAACTAGGGCGAAATCCGTCGATCTTCCTCTGTGGCGACGTATTAGGTTGAGTGACTGTTTCGTGAGGCGGTACTTAAGACCAGCTGTGTGTCTTCTAGAAAGAGACTTCAAACGGCAACATTGGCAGCTGCCTCATTAGGCGACTATTTGTTTCTCTCTGTTAGGAGCGCACTCGTTTTATAGGGAGTTGGGAGCCAATGGGTTGCGTTCAATTCATGAGCGCCCAGAAGAATTGCCCACGTATAACTCCCATTTCAGCTGTCTCGCTAGAGGTAAAGATGGGTGATGCCTTCTGTGAGTCTTGAGCAAAATCGTGTGTTGAATTATTCCAAGAGAGAACATTTCACAACTCCAAACCGCAAGCGAATGGTTTTGGTGTGTTTGACTGAGCAACCTATGTCAAATGTCTGAGCAATTGAAATTGTTGTATACCGCTGTGTTTATACAGACAATGTTTTCTATCGAGAGGGTTGTTTCAGCTGTATTCACTTGAACTTTGGAATTCCTTCTCTAACTTAACGAGATACGGTGAGAAATTTGCGGATATCTTTGTAAACATGTAAGGCGGCAAATAGGGTAGGCCGACTTTCAAGCGGTTACGGAGCTTCTCAACTTCCCTCTTTTCCCGTGTTCGTTTTATTATGAATTGATGCTGTATTAGGAACCTTTGTAATTGTTCATTGTTAATTTTTTGTGGGTTAGTCGACGATGGAATACGAAACCAATTGGGTTCTTTGGTTGATCGGGCGCCAAATTCATTCTTCGACACTTCTAACTGGAGTTTAGTGAGCTTGTTATGTAAAAAATTTAGAGGTCAGCTAACTTGAAGGCAAATACTTTATTTAAATAGTTAAATATAAATGATTGAAAGAGTAGATGAACAATCCATTTGGGAAGGTTTTTCTAGCAGTCTGAAAGATTATGCGAAATGAAGGAAGCTTTTTTGTTTGAAGGCCGTGCAGTAGCGAAATAATTGGTAAGACGGTGTATTGCGTTTGTAGACACCCGAACGTCAGTGAATGCCCTCAACAAATCATCTTCTGTCTTTCTATCAATTTATTTGCTGATGTAAGACTATCTGTACGAGGTGATGTAGTGAAATAAATGATGGCGAGAGTTCACTGTCAGGCGAGTGCAATGGGAGCCTGCACTTGACCTATTCTTGATACCTTCTAACTTTAGATTGAATGCGATGTCGATTGCGATGTTGAAATGTTGAAGAACTATTTTTGGCTCGT